GAGACACATGCTACTGGGGTCTCCCTGCCGAACACCACGGAGAATCTGGAAACCATCAAATCTCTTGCCCCCGAGTGTAATGATACCGTAGTTATCGCGATAGAGCAAAGTGTAGAACTCGAGTACAAAGCCAGGAATGCCCATCGATTGCAACACAGCAAGCATGAAACCAACCAGGATGGAGGGGAATGCAGCAGCGAAGTCAGTAAGCAGCATACCGGCACGATCATGCCCCAATAAATCTTGCTGAATTCCCCAGCTCTCTGCAGAGACAACATTACCAAGCATACTTCGGCCAGACACGCATGTTTGTGACTCATCAACGACCAACTTAGATAAGCGAGAGAGTGGGATGCAGAAGGCACAGGAGAGCAGCTTAGCATCTGTGTTGCCCATGGAAAGTGGCCGCGTCTCAGCGCAATCACGAGTAAGCATCGGGCCTTCATCATGTGGCTTGGTATCTTTAGGCAAGAAAACCATAAGAAGACGTCGCATATCACTCGGTAAGTCGGAGATGCTGCCGTCACGCAACCCCGAGTATACAGCGCGCAAAATCTTGGGAGCTGGTCCGATCGTCCAGCACTGATACGGTAACCCATCTTCCCCAGGCATTGACGGGGAACGGGCTTTGAGCATCTGATTGAATTCCTCAAAGTCGATTTTCCAGAAATCTTCAGAGATATCAGGGGCCTTCTGAGAAAAGCTCAGGATCTCATCCCAAAGATGGGTATCCGCCTCGAAGTCACCAAAGACGGCACCCCAGTGATCACGAAGGGTAGCCGCAGAATCCTCCAGAGAAGCGCATGGGTTTCCATGAACGTCATTCACACTTGAAAGCCAGGTGCGTCTTCGAAATCGTTTCCAGATGTCCTGTTTCCTACTTATCTTTTCCAGGGCAGCGCGTTTGGTGGCCTCTTCGGACGGGGAACTTTCGATCAATGATGCCTCGCTGTCTAGCATCTGGGACTGCAGAGATTGGATATGAGCAAAAAGATCAGCAGGATGTCCGAGCTCAAGAGAAACGAGATTAAAGAAACTACCAAGATGTTCATAGCATTCAATCGCACGAATAAGCATATGCTCCCTGGATAAGCGCCAACCACGAAGAGAATGAAGAGACCAGTGCAACTTCTCGGATAACGACGAGGCAGGTCTACTGGCAATAGCTTTCTTGGCACGCTTACACGTGGTGTGCATGATATCTTTGGTGCGAGCAAGAGTCTGAAGAGTACATTGCTGGTCATGGTCATTATCATCAAGCATAGCCAGAAGAGCAGAGGACAGCATCTCCTGATAGATAGGATGACGAGCAAGCCAGAGAGGAACAAAGGCTTGGGCATGGGCAGGAGGGGCATATCTCTCGATCACCGACAGGACGGGAATATGGTCCGAGCTCTGAATATTCTTAATTAAGCCTCCCCACCACAGATGTGCTGATGGTCAAATCCGCCAAAAGGGCCGAGGGGGTGTCCGAGTAAATGCGGTCGAGGCGAGACGTCAGAGAAATAATCTTGTCCCTTATTTCGCGTCTGGTATCACATTCCTGGAAGAACTCAACCCAAGAACCGCATTTCCGATGGAACAGGTCAGTGTGTGCCCTATCACCTGGACTAAAACCACTCCCATCAGTCATTAACCTGCCTTCATCTTCATATGCAAAATTCCAGTCCCCGAGGATAATGTTAAAGCTCGTAGCAGCACCAGGAAGGGCATCAGAAATCCTGGAAAGGTAGTGAGCGCACGTAGCAATGGGATCACAGACGTTAGGAAGGTGCGCATTCACAATCACAAGTGCGCCGTGCTTCCCCTTGCAGACAGAGAGAAGAACTCTACCGACAATCAGTGGATAATGCTCAATCGAGTCAAACAGTGCAGAAAAGGATGACGACATAACTGTAATAACACCACCAGTGCGACTATCATCATCATAGAATGAGTGACCAATGCTAGAGTTGCGAAGATCATGCTGGAGATGCGACACATCTGCTACTTGACCATGCGTCTCTTGTGCACACACAACTGAGTAACGACGGCTGAGACTAATGAACTTCCCCCAGCGGTTGGAGGCGGTCGTGTACTTCGTAGCCTTCACCGCACCAAAAAGACCATGAGCATGCCAGGTGACAATCGAGAGAGCGGAGGGAGGAGAGAAAGGCATATTGCAGGACCCCACATCATCTGCAATATCACTGGCGAGTCCGCCTCGACTACGCATAGCAGAGGCACCAGGCCTTCTGTTCATCAAATTCGCGCGAGAAGAATCGGCCTGCGACGGCAGGCTCTCAGCAGCCTCTGAACCAAGTTCTCACAGGTACACGGGCGGGTCATTCGCTGAGGTGGTGGCCGTCGAAATGGCGTCGATCACCGCCTCGTCATTCAGCTTCCAGATACGGCAGTTCGTGAGGTTAGGCTCGAACGACCAGCCTGCGACTTCGTTGCCTTTTATGTAGACCATCTCCCAGATCTCACCATTAGCAGCGTCCCCATACAGGTTGATCATGCCCTGGTAGCCGTTGACCCCAAGGCGCGTGCTGGTGAGGTCATGACCAGCAGCAGATAGCATATCTCGAAGCTTGGCATAGATGTGACTGCAAGCTCTCTGCCGAACCCGAACGTCAAGCGGCATGTCACCACGGCTCTTAATCTGGTGGACGCTCTGGTTCCGCGGGTCCGTCCATTTCATACTGTCTGGTGACGCAGCCACAATGTCCTGGAACCTCTTGGCAGCAAGCTCGGTCGTAAACTCCAAGCTATATGTCTTTGCAGTGCGAGGGAAGTTGGGCGTAATCTCCTGTGCAAGATCAGCAGGAAGAAGGGGAAGTACGGTGTTGGTGAAGTGCAATCTGCGCTCACGAGCGAAAAGTATCCGAGGAAAAGTTCCAATCCATTTGCGGTTCTTATTACTCATGTCGTTCTTGGGGCCATCCACACGCCTGGCCTTCGACCCACTGGAATCTGAGAGTGTGCGAGTCGAGCCACCGGCAGAAGATGCCGTCGAAGGGGTGGTCGATTGCATAGCTTGTAACTTCTTAATATCCGCTTCGAGTGCGGCAACTTTCTCATTCGCTTCATTGATGTACTTATTCTCCGTATCAATCGGGATGCCATGTCCAGACATGATCTGCTCCAACTTGGAGAAGCGCTCGTCGGTGTCCTTCGTCGCAGTGTTGATCTTGCTCTCCAAGTAGTTCATACTCGTGGTGACCTCCGACCGAAGCAAAAGTACTTCAGCCGCTTGTTCTTTGATTAGCGTCTCGGTTTTGCCATGTATGTTCTTTTCCTGAGTCTCCAGCATCTTCTGAATGTTCGCGAGCAGTGTGTCATGATGGCTTCCCGCAGAACTCGAGCTTCCGCCTGCAGCCAGCGACATGTCTGACTGGTGGTCGAGACAGAGTGGAAAGTCTTCTGCAGGAGAATCTGCAGCCCTCTGCTGCGCCAGCAAGGCCCCAACCTGAGCCAGCACGCAGTGGATATCCCAAAGCTAATCAGGTTACCTCGCTTCTCCGAAGCTTCTACCCGTTTAGCCTTGAGCCAAAATGGCTACGGATGATGATGATGATGATGCTGATGATGATGATGATGATGATGATGATGATGATGATGATGATGATGATGATGATGATGATGATGATGATGATGATGCCGTTGATGATATTGATGATGATGCCGATGCGGATGCGGATGCGGAGGAGGCGGAGGAAGAGGAAGAGGAGGAGGAGGAGAAAGGAGAAGAGGAAGGAGGAGGTGGAGGAGGTGGACGGAGGAGAGAGAGGGGGGGAAAAGGAGGAGGAAGAGGAAGGGAAAAGGAGTAGGAGGAGGAGGAAACGTAAACGGAGGAGGAGGAGGAGGAGGAGGAGGAGGAGGAGGAGGAGGAAGGAGAAGGAGAAGGAGGGGGAAGAGGAGGTGGAGGGAGGCGGGAAAGGAGGAGGAAAGAGGAGGGAGGAGGAGGAGTAGGAAAGAGGAGGAGGAGAAAGAGGGGGAGGTGGAGGAGGAGGACCAATGTAATCCCGAGAGTCATCAACGATGTTGGAATACCGCCCCCCTCCAAACTCCCTCTTCATATGCCCCTACACGGGTTCATTTCCACTGAAGGAAATGCCTCGTTGCAAGACAACCGTTTGAAGACCCGGAAACATGTAAAACCATTGTTCTCGGGACTCCAACGCCACGGATTAACCTGACTGTTGTGTCTTGGAGATTCTGAATCGTGCCAAAACGCCATTCCTGGGACTTCAACACCGCGAATCAACGTAATTGTTGCGCCCTCCTAATTCCTTCCAAAACATCATTTCTGGTACGTTGACCATGGAAACCGTGAAACTCTTGCACGTTGGTTTTAACGAGTGTACGCGGCGAGAAAGCGAGATCCACATTTTGAAAACGAACCGCCCTCAATCCGTGAAGATCTTGCAATGATGAAGCACGAATATGCGCGGCGCGAAAGCGAGAACCACATATTGAAAACGGGTGGCCCTCAACCAGTGAAACTCTTTCACATTAAAAAACGAATGTGCGCGGCGCGAAAACGATAATCACATTTTGAAAACGGGGGGCCCTCGAGCAGTGAAACTCTTACAACCTTTTCTAAGAACAAAAAAGAATGCGCGCGGCGCTAAAGCGCGAGCCGCATTTTGAAAACCACCCGCCCTCCATCTTTGTAGCCGTTGCCATTTTTTGAGCTTCAGAGTCGTAAGTAGTGAGGAAGTCTCAGGCGAAACGCCCGACCCGCCCGAACAACTAGCCTCGGGGTGCGACAGGGAGCACATTATTTATAATGAGAAGGAATGGAGGGGGAGGAAGAGGAGGATGAGGAGGGAGGAGCAGAATGAGGATGAGGAGGGAGAAGAGGGAGAAGAAGGGGAGATACTGAAGAAGGAGGAGGACCAGGGAGGAGAGAGGAGGAGGAGGAGGAGGAGGAGGAAAAGGAGGAGGAGTAGGAGGAGGAGGACGACGGGGGAAAGGGCTGTGCTGGGCTATGTGGGGCGCAAGGAAGGCCGCGCATCCTTGTCGACGCCCGCGAGCGACTGCAGCGCCATGCCCTCCTGGGGCGCCCAGATGCCGCCCCGTGCTCGTTGTCGTCCTCCTCCCCTCCCCAACTGTTGCCTTCATGACGTTGGTCGGATAGAAACTGTACAGCTACTCCTCCCTACTCCGGCCTCCCCTCCTCCTCCTCCTCCTCCTCCTCCTCCTCCTCCTCCTGCTGCATATTCTAAACCTCAGAATCCTCAAAAATACAAGTACGTCCTAGTACTTCTCCCTCTCGTAGTTCTCCTGACCGATCTTCCCCTGGAGCCTGCCCGCTTTCTATTGCGCGGTCCCCGCGCGCACCTCGCAGGCTCGAACCAGATTGGTCTATGGACGGGCCAAGGCTGCAACAGGCAAGAGTCAGCACTGCAATTCACACGCGCTAAAAATTCTTGTTGCCTGTTTGCCTCAGCCTCTCGCGCGTCACGCGAATCAGCCTCTTCAAATGACCTCCTCAGTCGGAGGTGGACGGGCGCACGCACCTAGCGGGCACCTTTTGCTCACGGTCGTAGGAGTCCTGGCGCTCCGCCTCCAAGGCCGTCATCTCGAGGCCGAAGTTGTTCTTCATCACCCGCAGCAGTGCATCGCGCTGATCGGGATAGTTGGACATCTGCTCGATGACTGACAACGCCGTAGTTGATAGCGCCTCCTGGTATGCCAAGTCCTTCTTGGGAAAATCTGGCAGCTCGATCTTGATGAACTCCGCATCCTCCCTCGACTCCTCCTGCTTGGTCGAACTGCCCGCCTCCGTGCCCTTGCCCCTGTCCTCATACGGGGGAAAGCGCAATATCTTTGTCAGGTGTTCGCTTCCAGTCGGCATCTCCATTTTGCAGGACGGGTTATGGACGGTCGTCTCGAAATAGTTCCTCTCCAGCTCACTCATCTGACGGATCATCGAGTCCTCGATAGCTGCTCCGGTCAACACCTGGACGTAATTCGTGCTGTTGCGGTATATCAGGGTCACTCTCATGTTCCGACTTGACTTCAAGCCTGTGTCGAGAACTCCAGCTGGCACTTTCACTGCCATCTTACGCTCGGCTGCCACGCAACTGATCATTCTCGGGTAGCTGGTCTCCGCATCCGTGAGGCTCTGGAGGAGGCCCCGTGCCGTCCTGGGCCCCCCACGCGCGGTGAAGCCTACCATTTGGGCCACCACTGCACAGGCGACTGATGGTGTGGGAGTCGGCAGTCGGTCGCTTGACGAACCTTTTCTGCGGAGTCGGCGACGCTCTCTCTCCGCTGCTGCCTCTTGTAGCGTACTCGACTCGTCTGCAAGCTGATGCACCCCGGATCGAACGCATGCCCTCAATAGGTCGTGGGCCTCGGCTTTTTCCTTGGTAAGGGCGTCTGCTAACATCAAGGACGTTGGACCCCACCTCAGAGTGCCTCCAAATCCCTGAAGGGCTTGTCGGGCGATCATGAGCTCCACAGCACATCTTCGGTCCTCAAGAGCCCCTGGGGAACCTATCTTATTGATATGATCGTAAGCCGATTTCGTATCTATAATAGCAACAGCCTCGAACGGTTTCAGGAACTCACACCTCGTCTCCAGAGTAAGCTGTGGAAACATACATCCTGCAAAGAAACACATTACCCACTCCAAATGCCCCAGACCGTCGGCCAGTGCAGAGGCCTCTCCACCCAGAGATGATCTTATAGCCCGTTTGAGTCGGTAGCTACGCCAGATCAGAGGATTCCATGGTGATACCTTCCCACGTTGCATATCCGGTGTCGTTACACTCAGCACATAACCACCCTGGGTCTTCTTGAGACCTTCGTTTTCGCCCCTGGCAAAATCGGTATGGATCATCATCCTGAGGTCCTCGAGTGGGATCGCAAAATATCGTATCGTGAGATCCTTGTGTTGGCGAGCACGACGTACGAGCATGTTAGCATCTTTTATCTCCTTCACCGTCGGATTCGGCAACAGCTGCTGGTTCTTGCTCACCTGGCAAGACAAATCCGGCCTAGTCTGACCTGCCAGCCAATTGCCAGCCTGGTTCATCGAGATCAGCGCAGACTTCTCCTTTGGCAGCGCCTTGCTTTCATTCTCGGTACATCGTTTCACCTTGACTGGTTTCATCGTTTCGGCATAGGTCCTTTGTGACTGTATGATAGTCCCGTCCGACATCTGTTGTAACCAAGACCCCGTAAACTCACCAGACCCAATCCTCCACTTCCTCCATGGAAACCGTCGTTTCAGTTTGGCCATCGCAATTTCCCACCTGTCACCTCGTCCTCCTCCTACCGTGTCATCCACATGTATCCCCATCAGCCCACATATAGCACCCGGAGGTCCCCGAGTAGACCCAATCGGCACACACTGAGGTGTCGAGGGTGCAGGCTGTCCAGTCTGCACAGGTTCAAACATGATAAACAGACGCGGATCAAGAGGATGGGCCACGAAGCCGATCTCCTCAACATATCGCTTGAAAGTCGAGAACCACCGCTGCGGCTGATCCACACCGCCGTAGCCGTTCACAAGTTCGTACAGCTGGTCCGGGTGATGGCCCTTCGGTGTATGCTCCCTGGGTGCTTTGACGAATGTCGGCCCATTGGGCCTCTCCTCAGGATCAGCCTCCAGAAACGCTCCTCGGATGTCTCCCAGGACAAATTGAAAACGAGCCGAAGCCACCAGTTGTAGGACCGTTGCCTCCCCTGTCGCTGAGAGCGTAGGACTCTGGGTCTTGCCGGCCCGGACCATTTCCAGCACATCTGGATCCTTAAAACCTTGCACTGTCAGCCTACACCGCAGTTCCGTGCTCCCGTCACCCTCCGTTTTGAGAGTCAGCACAGGGCGTGACGGCAAGATGCGGTCCGGAACCTCCAGACGAAGACGACGAGACTCCTCAACGGAACGAGCTTTCCAGGCCTTCTGATCAATGATTAACTTTTGGAACTCCTTCTGATATGCCTTCTCCACCTGACGTCGTCCCTCCTCAGTCTGCCACCTTGGATCCTTCTCACGCTCCTCCTTCCTCCCCCATCGCAAGTAACACGTCAGTGTCCGTCACCGCCAGGATCGGGGCCTCTTCTTCCCCATCGCAGGTGACCGCTCCACAGTCAAAAAAGAGCGTCGGAGCCGCCTCAGGACTGGACAACTGAGGTGGGAGAGATGGTGGTGAGCTGGAGTCGGACAGTCCTGAAGGTTCTTCCAGGCGGGGCTGTTTGTGCGGCTGAGGTTCAGCAGGGTCATCGGCGCTCCGAGTTAGCTCTTCCTTCTTCGGGCCAGTCTTCGATCCGAAAGGTACTCGACGGGACCACGTCGGGTGATCGGGACTTCCTGTCGGCACAACATGTGGAAAAGAGGACCGCATGGAGTCGGGGTACGGGCACCTGGACGAAGGATCTCCTGGAGTCGGTTCGACCGATGACGTCTTCGACGGCGGAGTCGGTGGCGGTGTCGGATCGATCGATATCGAAGGTGCCGGAGTTGGGACCCCATTTCCAGGACCTGGAACCGCCCAGCTTGAGTCATCTACTTCTCCTTCTGGGGGGCCTTCTGGAGGCTTGGGGCCCTTCGTGATGTCGTCAAAGTATCTCCCAGACAGATTATCCAGGTCTACCGTCGTTGTCCGTAATTCAGCCTCCACCAGCCTCCATGCCGCACGTTCCTCCCTTGTAGCCTCCCTCACCTGCTCCGGGGATGCTTTCACCAGGCTTCCGGGAAGAGCAACCCAGTAGTTTCCCCTGACCGGCCCAACGCAGATTCCTGGACGCCACCTGTACGACGACGTCTTTCCAGCTATTGCGCCCTTGACCTTGCGCCACACTGCTACCATATCTCCAGCCTGAAAAACACGATGCACCCGCGGACGGCAGTCGAGGGCAACACGAGCTGCCTTCTTCTCGTTGTGCGCCAGGACCACTCGTCTGGCCATCGCGCGAATACTGGCAGCCCCCGCTGCCACATAATCGTGCAACACACAGCTGTTAGCCACAAGATTCGGGTTCTCCTGAAGTAAATCTTCTGGGGCCTCCGGGTTCCTGCCAAACACGATCTGACACGGGGAAACGCCTTCCACACTTAACACTGAGTTCTTGGCCTCCTGGAGCTGCGTCACACATTCCAACCATTCGCCCTCATCTTGTGGCTGAATCCCATCAATCATCACCTGCAACCAATGCTCAAACCACTTACCGTGTACCTCCACTTTTCCGTTCTGTTCCTTCGCCATACCTGCAGTATCCACCAGGGTCGTCCCGTCCCGGTCCATGGCATCTTGAAAATCTCCCGACACATGTGCGCTGGCCGCATCTACCTTCAGCCACTTGGGCCTCATGTAAGGTCGGGTCCAGTTGTCCCGATACGTGCGAAGCAAAACTTGGGACGACTCTGTCTCTCCGACCTTTAGTGGGGCCATCACGTGGAGAGAGGATGCATCACAAATGATATTGAGACATTTCCGTTTTTCCCCCGGGATGTAGCATGGCAGTTCCTTCGCATCCATCGCCACCGATTTTAGCGGAGGCTGAAGTGTGGGAGGAGCGCTATACCTTGCAATGCCGGGCTGTCGGCGTGATGCACAGTCGTCGCAATGGAAATTCGCTGCCTGTCGTAATGCCTCGGAACTCGCATTCGCATGTCGAAGGTGTCGGAGCATCGTCGCAGTCGTCGCATGACCCAAGTTCACATGGAGCCGTCGTAGGGCCGCCCCAAAACTCTGTGGTCGCCTGGGACATACCTCATCATCGTCTCCTCGATCCTCGTCGACGGCACAGGCCTCCACCTCCTTTCCCCCATCACGGATCACACGCGCCATCGACAGTCCCTGGAGAATCCGTTTCACCAGCTTTGTCGGGTAGATCTGAGTCCATCGGGGTAGAGAGATACCCAGTCCTGGCAGAGGGCTCCCACCCTCGGTCCTCGCGTGGGCGTGGCCACCGTCGCATGGGAGAGACAGCTCAGCTGCCACCTCCGGTGACGACGTCACGAATTTCCAGCGCTTACTCAGAAGAATTCCTGAAATAGTGTGCCGAAGGCCCACGCGACAACCACTCGTCACACCCACCCAGACCCTTGGGTCCTGAAGTAGCCGTTTCATAGCCCGTAGCCCGTGGGTCGCTGCAGTCGGAGGTGCCTCAAAAATGAAGTGCCGGTCGTTAGAGAGCTGATATTCGGCAATCCGGATACATTCCAACACGAAACGCTTTGCTTCCAGGAACTCCTGAAGATGTCGTTTCAGATCTTTCCGTTTTCCATCTGGGGTCAGGTTCTGAAGAGCCGTGAGTTTTTCACAGGGAGGTGACATGATAACACAGAAAGGCTCTTCTTTTTGGATCCTATCCCACAGCTCCTGCAAGTCCTGGGGCTGGCGAGCATCCCAGCCCGAGACCTTGTCGAACGACCCGAGGTCGCGCATCCCGTAGTCGGGCGCGTGCGGCGGGCACACCCGCGGGGGCGAGAAGACCTCCATCACCCCGGGCACCTGGTTCTTCACGGCGAGGACCTGGAAGCTGATGTCCTCGCTGGTCTGAGGGCGCCGACCCGGCCCTACTGACAAGGCGTCGGCAGGTCGTCGATCCTCAGCTTCGTCGCATCCACCGAAGTGTCCGGCTCCGGGTTGTCCTCATACTCGCGCCCGAGCAAGTCCACCTCATAATGTCCACTGCCTTCCGCCTCGCGAACGGGAATTTACGTGTCCAGCCGGCCAAGCCACAGACGATTCTTGCTCATGTCTAGAGTCGCCTGGAGGATCTTCATCACTTGCTTGCTGATCAGGAGTCCGGCCTTGCCCTCGATCACGTAGACCAGGATCCTCACTCGCTTCTTGGCCGCGGGGACGTGCCACTGAATCCAGCACGCCCTCTGACATCTCCTGAGCTTCCCGTCGTAGCTCTTGAACCTGACGCTCGGCGCCTCCTCCTCCCACTCCGGCTTCAGGCCCGTTTCCTTCTCATATTCCTCGAGAGCCTCCGAACCGATCAGGGCCATACCACATCCAGAGTCAAGAGCACCACAGCCTGGAGCATGACACGCACACACTTCGATGGTGTCCTCATCTTCGTCAGCCTCGTCGATCTCGTCCGCATCTGTATCCTGCTCCGTCTCTCGTCTCTCGTGTGCCAGTCGTCTGAACTTCTCCTCGTTCGTCAACTTGGTGATGAGGTTTGGCTGTTTGTCTTTCGACCATGAGGCAAGCGGCGCGTCTATCTCAGACCACGCACCTTCATCATCTTCATTTGCCGTCGTAGGCTGGGTCACCATCACCTGGATCACTGCTTCCTGTCGTGCTGCTCGTTGTCCCTGGTTGAAAGGTCTCTGCATGAAACGCTTCTGGCCACCCTGCTGTAGTCGATGTCGCTTTGGACATTCCCGGCTAAAATGGCCAATTTCCTTGCACAGGAAGCAGCGGACCTTGTCCTTCAATCGCTTGAGACCCGCTGCATCGCGTCCGGGTAGTCCTCGTTGTAACTTTTCCTTATTCATGGCCGTCCTCGTTTCCTTCCACGTAGCCAACACGTCGATCGCGTCCTCCTCTTCCAAGGGATCTTCTTCTTCCCCAAGCAGCTCGTTGATCTCGGCCTCCAACTCATCATCTTCGACCATCGATGTAGTCTCCGCAGCGGATGCCGCGGGCGCGATGGTAGACCTGTCCTCCCAGGCGTTCACCTCGTGGACCTGGGACGTCGGCATCTGCTTGGGGTAGGCCGTCCGGATGGCGGCCGACATCTCAGAAAAAACCCACTGGCGCTGACTGGCTGCCAGCACGACCGCTCCCCGCTCCATGCCAAGCCGGGCCCCCTTCAGGAGCAGGAAGCCCTGGGCCACCAGGGGGAGCTCCATTCCCTCCTTCCTTGCTCTGGCGAAGATCGTCCTCGCTCTTCCCGTGTATGCCGAAGACGTCTCGCCTCGCTCGATGGCCAGCCCGAAGACATTCTCCAGCGCGTCGCCGATCCTGTCACTGGCCTCCTTGTCGGGGAAACGTTCCTCCAAGGCCTGGAAGATCAGATCGGCGCCTCCTTCCCTCTCGATGTCCGCGAGCTCCAGGTGCTCGCATGCTCTCTCGGCCTCATCGTCGAGCAGAGTCAGCACTAGAGGGCCCAGAGCCTCCTTCGCCAGGCCTGTGCTCGCCTCCACAGCAAACTTTGCGCCGATCCAGCGCCGCCAGCTCTTGAACTCCAGCGCCGCGTCGTTCCCCTTGCCTGAGAGACGCCGCCACTGACCAGAGCCACCACTCGCAGAGCCTCCGTCTGCAATGTCCCCGCTGAAGGACTCGACGTTGGCTCAAGACCAACGCAGATTCTAAACCTCAGAATCCTCAAAAATACAAGTGCGTCCTAGTACTTCTCCCTCTCGTAGTTCTCCTGACCGATCTTCCCCTGGAGCCTGCCCGCTTTCCATTGCGCGGTCCCCGCGCGCACCTCGCAGGCTCGAACCAGATTGGTCTATGGACGGGCCAAGGCTGCAACAGGCAAGAGTCAGCACTGCAATTCACACCTCCTCCTCCTCCTCCTCTCCTCCTTCTTCGCCATGCCCTCCCCGGCCATCAGCAAACCACCCTTTTCCTCTCTTTTCGTAGTCGTCCTCGTCCTGTTTCATCCCAGTCCGCCTCGTCCTCCTTCCTCCTCCTCCTCCTCCTCCTCCTCGCCCGCCTCGTCCTCGTCGTCCTCCTCCTTCTGCCCCCCCCCCCTTCCATTAAACGTAACTCCTTCCTGCCGCACCCCCAGACATGTCAGTACGGCGGACTGGCGGACTAGGCGTTTCGCCTGAGACTTCGTTGCTTCATGATCCTGGAACTTGGGATTTGTAACAATTTCACGGATGCAAGGCGGGCTGTTTCCGAAATGTGGCTCTCGCCTCAGCGCCGTGTGAATTCGTTTTGATTTACTTAACTGCAATGAGTTCACGGATGGAGGGTGGGCAGTTTTCAACATGTGGCTATCGCCTTAGCGTCGTGCACATTCGTCTTCAAAGTTTGCAGAAGTTTCACGGATGCAGGGCGGCTCCTTTTCAACATGTGGCTATCGCCTTAGCGCTGTACACTTTCGATTTAAACGTTTGTAGCAATATCACGGATATAGGGCGGTTATTTCTTAAACTGCAGTTCTTGCCTCAGCGCCGCGCGCACTCGCCTTAACCGTTTACGACGTGTTCGAGGATTTGTATGGCCAGAGTCCCAGGACCAGTGTTCTTGCGCAATTTCGGATTGTCATGAACGTATGAAAAAGGAAACGTGGAGTCAAGGTTCATGGCAACATTGTCGGTGCATCTTGGGTTTACACTGGCCCTCTTCCTGCTCCTCCTCCCCGTACTCTCCCTCCTCCTCCTCCTCCTCCTCCCTTTCTCCCCCCTCCCTATCCTCCTTCTCCTCCGTAGCCATGTGTGCTCAAGCCGTTTCGGCTCTGGCTCAGGGGAGCCAACGCTTGCTGCCTGCGGACTTCGAAACGACGCGCAGGGAACGGCTGGGGGCTGCGCTGATGAGCGCCATTGCGGCCACTGGACGGGCGGCTACAGGAGCATCATGACGCGCTGGAAGCGCTCTCTCTGCCTGGCGAATCGACGGGCCAGGAGGCGCCAGGCAGCCTGCCGCGGGCGATCATGGACAAGGTGATGGGCGTAGTCTGTGTGGTACACCCCTGCTTAGTCAAGACAATTCGACACTAAGGAACTGGTCTTGACTCCAATCGTGTTCTTAAACAGCAGTCCAGGTCCAGAGATACGAAAGTTCCACGACAAACAATCACTCCAAGAAAACGCTCAAATTTCTGATGGGTGTAATGCAGGCCGGGCTCAAGCTGTTCGCCGAGAGGGTGGACAAGGAAGCCCACGCCGTGGTCCAGGAATCGGCGGCGAGCGAGGGGGGGAAGTGAGAAGGAGAAGACCTTCTCAGCAGGCGGCGGGGCTTCTCAGAAGCTCCCTGGCCTCCTGAGAAGCTTTCTGTATCTTCGGGGAGGGTTTAGACAACTTTTCAGAAGGCTGGAAGATTTCCGAGCCTTCTGGGAAGGCCCGCCCCTTCTCATTTCCCTCCCGGGCTCGCCGCCGAAGGTAAGGCTGAAGGAGTGGGTGGGCGGCGTCGTCGTGAAGACGAAGCTGCGGAAGTGGATGGCTGAGCAGGCGGGGCCAGCCCAGGCCGCGCCAGCGGCCCTCCTGTCGCACGAGACCTCAGTCGATCACGGCGGCTCGAGCTCGGAGAGCAGCTCGGAGGGCGGGGTGAGCTACGAGACGGACAGGAGTGCTGGGCGTTGTGGCGAGGCTAGAGGAAGTTCCTCCAGGGGCAGAGCAAGGCTGGTTGCGCGGGCGTCCTCGCTGAGGGAGGAGGAGGAGGAGGCCTGCGGAACAGAGGGCGTCAGGCTGGCGGACGGGGACGTCGGCGACTCTGACCACCCCGCCGAGACGAGCGTCCCCAATACGCGTCCAGTCGAAACGCTGCCAGAAGGGGGACCACGTCCGGCGCCAGTGGACATGCGAGGAGATCGAGGAGTACATGAGGAAGGCCCGCCGTCGACATGCGAACAAGGAACAAAGACGCAGGGAGGCGGCGAAGTCGGCGGCACCATGGCAAGCTGAACAAGGGGATGGAATTAACGGGCCCCGTGATCAACGTGATGGTGGAGGACGAAGGTGGCAAAGGTCTGCAGTGCGAGTCGGACCTGGAATGGGAGTTCGCAAGGACGCCTAACTTTGCGCCTCGCGCTGCGCGAATAACTTCGCGCCCTCGAGGACGCCCACCGAGGGCAACGAGGGGGAGGCCCAACTCGGCGTCCCTCTGGCCTGCCTTTCTCGAGGAGACGAGCTCCATCGACGAGGCCGCGGCGGAGGTCGAGGACTGTGCCTTCTTGGGTATGGAAGTGAAGGGCTCACGTGAGCCCCGGGCAGAGACCGAAGATCGGCCACGCGGCCAAGGCACACCAAGTGCACGGAGGAGGAGAGAACGGCGGCAACGAGGACGGTGCCTGGGACTTCCTAGCGCGACCAGCGCTGTCCGAAATTACAACACTCCCCTGTGACGAGGCCGACGCCGACGGTAATTCCGCTTCGGCCACTGCTGCGGCGGACTGCGAAGCCGGATGGGGCCATGCGGAGTGCTTTCATCAGAAGCGCTGGGCGACGTCGACGGCAGCAATGGGGAGGGCTCGACAAGGGGCCCACCCAGCTACAGCGACACACGAATGACTACGTGATGCGAGGGTTGCTAGGTATCTCCCTGGATCCCAATGAAGTCGGGGATACGTGGAGACGGGAGGATAGGATTCCTTCTTGTAGATGCTGGAGAGGCTGCGTGGAAGAGCGGCAAATACGATGATCGCAGAGCTCTTCAACATTCGCAGCGGCGATCTCACCCCAGCCCTTTAGGGCGCGAGTGATTTAGAGCGCTGCCTCTTCCAACCACCTCCTTCCCCTTCGACGAGGGGTGCATTTTTTCCCTACCCCCTCCCCCTGGATCTGGATGGGCCTGGCCGCGGGTCGTCATAACGTCCGAGATGGCCTCGTCGAGAAAACCAGAACCATTGATCATGCTGAGGTTTTGGCTACATGTTGGCCTCCGGGGGGACTGATAAAAAAAAAACCCCTCCTTTGATCGATCTCTTCCAGGATGGCCCCAAGAGGTGCCGAGGAGGCCCCAAGAGTCCCCCAAGAGGCCCCCAAAATGCCCCCAAGAGGCCCCTAAAAAAACCCAGGACGCCCCACAAGGCCCCCGCAAATCACCCAAGACGACCAAAAGGCCTCGGCGAGAATGCCACAAACAAAGATTTTATAAGCAAGGATTTGAAAACACGTTGGCCTCCTGGGAGGAGGGGCTGACTAAGGACCCCCCCTCCTTTTGATCCGTTTCCTCCTACATGTCCCCAAGATTCTCCCCGAGGCTCCCACAGGTGCCCCAAGAGGGTCCCAAGATGTGCTCAGGAGGTCCAAAGAGTCCCCCAAGAGGCCTCCGAAAAGGGCATATTTTATAAAAAAACACCCAAGAGACCCCAAGAGGCTCCAAGCAGCCTCCAGAGGCACCCGCGACGCCCCGAGAGGCCCACGGGACGGCCAAGAGACCCAAAAGACGCCCCAAGAGGACGCCAACACACTCTCGAAATAATTCCGAAGAGACTCCGCGAGGTACCATAAGAGGACTCTGGCCTATATGCTCGCCCTCTTCCTCCTCCTCTTCCTCCTCCTCCTGCTCCTCGTCCTTCTCATCCGCCTGTTCCTCCTTCCTCCTCGTCCCTCCTCCCCCGCCCCCTCTCCCTACTCCTCGTCCTCTTCTTGCTCGTCCTCGGAGTCCTCCTCCACCCTCCCCCTCTTGGGTAAGACGTCTTACTCCACCTGCATTCCACAGCGTTCTATTCCACATCCCTGATCAGGGGGTTCGTCGGGGCACCGTTTCTGGATGGGCTGGTGTTTTTTTGATCGCGAGCGCAACGGAAGTGCCCAGCGCCGCCAGAAAGTCGTAGCAACCGAGCTACAGCCTAAATTGCGCCAGCGGAAGGGCGACAGGTGGTGGGGTTACTCTTTTGTTCGCAACCGCAAGCGGGCAGCCGCGCGGCGTCGTGAAGTCGTGCGATACGCGAAACCAGCCTACGTGCGCGGGGAAACGACGCGACAGCGGCCGCACGCGGAAACATGACGGGGCCGAAACCAAGCGCAAGCGGCGCTCGGGCGGCGAAAATGGTCAGGCGACACACCACGGCACCGCACGCGACGCGGGGAAGGACGAGGAGCCGAGACGAGGACGACAAACGGAGGGAGAAAAAGAAACTAACGCAGCGTCGCTCAGAGGCGGAAGACCGAGCCCGTGAACGCCAGGGACACGTCATCCTCCAGGTTCTTGCGCAGCGAGTGGAGCAAGCGTGTGGCCTGAACCCGCATCTTCAGCTGCCAGGCGTCGAAGGTCGTGAAACCGCCAGGAACGAACGCCGAATACCGCGATCATGAACCAGCGGGAAGAGGAACCAAACGACGGCCCGCGCTAGCGAATAGCGTGGCCAAAAAATTGACGGAAGCGCCAGCCGCGGGCCGAACCGAAGTATACCGGAAGCTGTCCATCCGGCCCGTCCTCCGAGGCCGTCGCGGAGCTGGTGGGGTTACGCGAAGCGTCGAGGATTGAGAAAGTGGCGGCCGTTCCGCGCAAGATGTGGTAAACTGCCACCCTGGAGGTCGTCCTCGCAATCTTGGAGCAGCTCGCCGCTGCCGTGCAGGGCAGGCGTCAAGCGGCCCAGGCTAAGAAAGCCAATGGGCAGGGCAGGAAGGCGGCGAGCATCACCGATAGAGCCGTGGTGCCCCTTGTGGGCGGTCGTCTGAGGGCCTGGCCCGGAGGGCCGGCGTTTTTCTCGAAACCTGCGCGGAGCGTAGGCCGCCCTCGTCGGGCGCGCCTTCGGCCTCCTCAGTACAATGACCGAGGGCGGACACGTTTGTGTACCACCGTATTCGGCCGCGACTACTGTAGTCGCGACCTTCGCCCCTTTCGCACGGGGCACGAAACCTTCCTCCAACGCCCGAGCGGCGCGTTGGCTATGGACCCCAGGGCCTCTGCACGGTTGAAGGAGAGCCTTCAGCTGGCGAGGCGACGTCGCTCCACACGAAACGCACGCAACGACGGCAAACTTTGGGCGATCACACTCGGCCGGCGTGCGGCAGTGCACGAGCCTGTGACTCCTTCAGCCTCCTCCTCCTCCTCCTTCTCCTCCCTCCCCCTCCTCCTCTCCCTCCTTCCTCCTCCCCCTCCTCCTCCCTACCCATCTTCCTTCGCCTCCTCCTTTTCATCGTCCTTCTTCTCCTCCTCCTTCTCCTCCTCCTCCTTCTCCTCCTGCTCCTGCTCCTCCTCTCATCCTTCCCTCTTCTCCTCTGTCCCTCCTCCCCCTCCTCTCGATGTCGTCGCGTGAGTTAGCGCCAACGTGCGCTGATCTACGGAAGACCTCCAATACGACGCAGATGGTGCAACGAGGGCCGACAAAGGCTGTGCGGGGCAAGCACACGTTGGGCTAACACACGCCCTGAGGATTGTCTATCCTCGTCGTTCTCCTCTTTCTGTCGGTCGCTGATGGCATGAGTGTAAATGTTGACGCGCCCCCCACTCCCCCGAGGGGCAGTTGCCCAGGTGGGGGCGATCAGACTACGTTATCTTCAAAGGCGAGGGGCAGTTGCCCAGGTGGGGGCGATCAGACTACGTTATCTTCAGAGGTACAGGGAAGAAACCACGCCGTGTTAGAGTCCCCCTCAGGGGCGGAGTAGCAAGGCCTTCCAACGCCCTCAGGGTCGGGCGGAGAGAGACGACAGGACGGCGACGACGGAGGGCAGCGACGAACCTCAGGCACCTGATCATGAGGTGAGAGGTTGGGGACAGGCTGGGCGGCTCTCCTCACCATGCTTACCATCCCCCCCCTCCTCCTCCTCCTCCGCCCACTCCTCCTCCTCCTCCTCCTCCTCCTCCTCCTCCTCCTCCTCCTCCTCGTCCTCCAGAAGGGGAGGGAGGAGGAGGGGGGAGGATCCTCCACGAGGACC